ACCGTGAGGCAGCGGCGCTAACCCCTGGGCCAGCCCAACCGACAAACTCAAACAACCACCCACGGGAAGCATTCCAGGCGATGGGCCCATCCAGGAATGGGAGAACTGCAAGAAACTTGAAGAACCCTTTCCAGGGTGTGAAAGGTGAAAAGGAGTGAGTGAAGTGAGCTTCCTTACGGCTCACGTAACCTGCCCCTTGTGGTGTGGCCATTAGCTCCAGCGGGGTATTCCTACAACAACGCTTATGTCAACTGGCCGTGGTATTGAAGGATTCGAGAGAGAGGTTTATGACACACATCCCTGACATACACAGATATCAGAGTCACCGGGGTTAACATCAAATCATTCAGTTAAAAACAGTAACTTCCACCAGAAATTTCATGAGGGGCATTGGATAAGGTGAAGAACAAAGGTCTTCTCTCTCCCCAGGGTAGGGGGGAGTCCAAAACTAGAGGGGCGTGGGTTTAAGGTGAGAGGGGGAAAGATTTAAAAGGGACCTGAGGGGCAGCATTTTCACACAGAGGGTGGTGCGTGTGTGGAACGAGCTGCCAGTGGAAGTGGTGGAGGCTGGTACAATTACAGCATTTAAAAGGCATCTGGATGGGTACATGGATAGGAAGGGTTTAGAGGGGAATAAGGGCCAAACATAGGCAGTGCGGGACCAGTTCAGTTTGGGGAACCTGGTCGGCACGGACAAGTTGGACCGAAGGGTCTGTTCCTGTGCCGTACGAATCCATGGCCCCTGGGGCAAAACGGAGACTGGGATCTTTATACGGAGACGGGATTGTCACTGAGGCGTAACCGGTCAGGGCTCCAGGACCCCGGAGCATCCTCTCGCGACGATATCAGGGTGCTGCTCCTCGATCGGGCATAAATAGCACAGCGCGGTGCGGATTGAATTAAATAGGAGGGGTGGGGGGGTGGTGTTTGTTGTGGTGGGGAAAGCGTTTTGGACGGAATAGTCTTTCAGTAATCGAAGATTAGAAGGTGGAAAGTCACTGATTAACCATTCAAAAGGGCGTTCTGTTTGAATAAACCCATGCTGCTGGGCACAAAGATGGCAGGTGGAGAGGATCTGCTGTCTTCAGCTGTGAAGAAATAAACGAACTCCGAACGGAAAACGTCTGCCGAGTTAATCCTCGAAAAGAGCCACAAGGCGTTTTCTTTTTTGTCAGTAACAGGGGAAACGTCGTGCTTTTCAAAGAAGGGGCGACATTTGAGAGAGGGGGGTATTGAGAAGGGAGAGGCGCAGAGACGGTCAAGCCTGACCAACTTGATGGGATTTACTCAGTTCGGTTCGGGATGAGGTCCAGCACGGACTCGTTGGGCCGAAGGGCCTGTTTATGCGCCTGTGGAGGTCCGTGTTGCTGGGTTTCGGGACCGCACTGACTGATGGAGAGATGAGAGACGCTGGAGGTGGTGGGGGGAGCTCACAGACTGACTCTCCAGCGTAAGGGGGGTTTGTGAATCGGGACCAGGAGCACGTTGTCTAACAGGAAATATTATTTCCCCAGGGCACGCAACCTGAGACCAGGCTCCGTCCCAAACCTGGCACTGATCACCAGGTCAAGGGATCCACGGTCAACGACAGACCACAGAGCACAAGGTAATGCAAACGTGAGGTTT